GCTCTGACTAGAGCAATCATGTTAGATTTGTGTATGTCCACTCTGTTTTAGTATCCTCGGTGATTATTTGCACAATCTCTGTAGTTGCTATTTCTATTTGCCTTTCTGAATATATATTACCGTGTGGTTGCTCGTAATGCCACCTTTCCAATTTTATTTCTCTTCCAAACGTCAGGTCCATACATTTGTGATCATTACCTAAGCTTTTGGACCCATATTATTCTACGTTCATCGCCTTTAGCCGATGATACATCGTATGTGACATTATTCCATATTCTATCTTCGACTGCAGCCTTCTCACCTCCCATGTTATCTGCCCTTCACATTTCTAGGTGCAGTTGTGAATGATTAATTCATGCCTTTCACACATATCCATTAGCATTCTATCTGTTGAGTCAGTATATATATTGTCACGTGCGTCCCACAAAAAAGACGAAGGACGACAGCGCATACGCACATCTGCACGCTTTTATGCAGAACGCAACAACGAGAAAGATGAGGAACTCTCTCTCGCGCGGTTAACAAAAAGACCGACCCGCTGCTGTTTTCTCACCGTCTTCGAGTACGACCTCTCTCGTGACGTCGCGACAATATTATATTTTCTATGTGAGAAATCAAATCTCCTAATATAATTACCCCGCACTCTTATCCTAGTTCGTCAATGTCATTTCCTTTTTACTGCAGCATTTGTTGATTTTCCTCTCTGGCTTTTGCCCCAGTGCACAAGTATACAAGACCCTGGAGCGTCATTTGACCTGCCACTTTCCCTTTTAGCCATAAATGTTCCTTACGCTGCTGCTTGACCCCTTGATTGATTGATTTATGGGGTTTAACATCCCAAAACCACCATTCGATTATGAGAGACGCCGTAGTGGAGGGCTCCGGAAATTTTGACCACCTGGGGTTCTTTAACGTGCACCCAAATCTGAGTACACGGGCCTACAACATTTCCGCCTCCATCAGAAATGCAGCCGCCGCAGCCGGGAATCGAACCCGCGACCTGCGGGTCAGTAGCCGAGTACCTTAGCCACAAGACCACCGTGGCAGGGCCTGCTTGACTCCTTGCCAGTATGTACTTTTATGAATGAATGCCCCAATACCACCCCTCTTTCTGCTGCCTTCTGTCGTATACAATATTTCCACGCGGAGTCCGGATCGTTAGAAGTTTTTTTCATATTCCTAAGATGTGTTTCTACAAAACCATATACCATCGGCCTCTCCTCCCTTAGCTTCTCTTCTATCTTTTTCCACTTCAGCCTATTCCTGCTACACTGCATGTTAATAACCCTACGTCTGAATTGGCTTGGCGCTCGTGGCTACGTCGATTTCTGCCCCGGACTCTACCTGTCTTAGATATTGGTGCCTATTTGGAATCGCATCTGTCTATACCACCTGTCAAAGAGTCCCCGTGGTTGTATTTCACGTCACTGGCTATCCTGCACCCCGAAGAATTCGCGTGCCTCTTCCCCCTTCAAAAAAAGCTACTGCGCGTCCTGCACGTCGCCAACCCACTTCATGACCTAGCCTCCCATCGAAGTGAATTCTGTCTCGTTGAAAACCACCCTACCTATGAACCTCTGTTTGTTTCCACCACCTCAAAGCCTTTTTTGGTTTGCGTTGACAACGACTCTTTGCAGGTTGCCGTCACGCACCGGTACCTCCGGTATCGTGCATATCAGTACCAGTATCTGAGGAGAAATAGCGCGCATGTCATCAACCCCTTTCGCCAGTGTCGTCGCTAGTCGTGTCATATCTTCATTTAAGACATCGTTCAAACCGCCTGCAATTATCACGAGGTTTCGTCCAACAACTGTTTTGAGTTTTGTGCTCGCTTGCCTCACGACTGCTCCCAGCTTGCGTCTTGGGAACATTCCTACTGCAACCCTCTTGTCACCCCTTACCCTCTCTTTGATTGCTTCTATGCATCGACATAAATTCGAGTCCCCGGCGATTATCACGTGGTGTGACTTTTCAGTTAGAGCATCCTGCACTTGGGCGTTACTTGCACCTGTGACGACGGCTGCTTTGTGCCCTCCCAGCCCCACCACTACTTCGCTGAAGCTGGGTCTCGGGAACAATGAACCAACTGAACCTATTTTTTCCGAGCTTGCTTGCTCTATCTTCTTCACAAGTATGGTTGCCGGTGCCCCACCGTTATCTCCGTCGGCCGCTCCTTTCTTCACCTTCTCTAGTGCCTCCTCGGCGGACTTAAGCCTTTCTCCCATAGCCCTCGTTTTCTCTTGCTCTGTCTCCAGCGCAGTCTCCAGCTCGGTGATTCTCATCAGCAGTTCACTCTGGACAACCATCATTTTCTTCATTTTTTCCTCAACCTCACATTGCCTACACTTGGAATCAGCGCCCTCTCGATTCTCGTCTGCACTTGGGTCCACTTTCAAACCCACCCCGCATTCTGAAAATTTAACGCTTTTTTAGCCAAGTCTTTTCGACACCAATTATCCTTATAAATTTCACACTCAATATATACAAAACATGGCGTACGATGAACTCTGCCCTACTAAAAAAAGGAAAGACTAAGCTCTACTACAAATCTTTGCGTGTTCGGTGTACGTGCACTTCCCCCATGAGGTGGCAAGAAAAAAGTCTAAAAAAGAAACGCACACAAGCTAGTAAACACCTGGTAACGACCCACGAAAAAGCCGTTCAAGGTAATAAGGGTTTCAAATGTTTTAACTGCTGCCTTATTTGTAAAAGCGAGCTCGAAACGTGCAAAACCGCTTATCTGCACAGTCGATCGGGAGCTTTGAAAAAACACGTTCAGTCCACCGCGCCAGTACGAACTGAACCGGAGAGCAGCGGCACAGCGCCACTTAGAAATTCCTCGCTCAATTCCAGTTTGTACGTCCTTTATTGAGACAGCGCCGTCAACTAAACTGTTCTAGAGATACTGCCGTTCTTTTTTTCTCGTCTCCTCTTCGTTCGGTTACGCCTTAAACAGGGCAAGGTTAGACTAAGAGGAGCTTTACTCGTAAAAAAAAGCTGCACTAAGATAAGACCAAAAAACAGCCACCGTCCTTGTGTACCTCCCTTCGTCTCATCTCTGCACCGTTCTTTTAAATGCGAAGCATTTCTTAGCAAACTTTAACGTGTTTTATCGTATCTGTCTATCTATATCTATTTAGCCACCTACGACTTTAACTCTCCTGGCCGTTTGACTAGTGGGATCAACACCGAAATTCGTATGGCGTAACATGACTGTATGACGAGCCTAAGTGACCAGTCACAACATGAAAAGCATGTCATGCATGCCATGAATATCATAGTTTAAATATCGTGGTCTTGCTGCTCCTGCGGTTGTTTCGTTCACACAGCATATTGCAAAACTTGTATGACATGACCGCAAAGTGAACATGAGTGACACTCCCTCATGTGGAAATCATGACATGCATGTCATCTAAGAACATGGCTATATGCCACGCTCATGACGCCCTCGCAGTCGTTTCGCTAGCTTCATATATACGAAATTCGACACTACCCGACGTCAATAGAGGATGAGGGTATATGACTGGTGCAAACATTGATAACCATGATAACATGCCTGACATAAAAGAACATGACTACATGCCGCACTCGAGATGCGCTCGCGGTTGTTTCGCTAGCTTCATTCATACCAAATTGGGAATACGTGACATGAATGAATGATAAAGGTGTATGACTGGTGCAAACATGATATTCATGCGTGTAATGGAAGAACATGTCTACACGCTATGCTCGTAGTGCCCTCGCGCCCATTTTGCTAGCTTCATATATACGGAATTTGGTATTACGTCACGTGAGTGGAGGATGACGGGTGTTTATGACCTGTGCGAACATAATTATGATATGCGTGTCATGTGAGAACATGACTAACACCACCCTCATGATGCGCTCATGGCTCTTTCGCTAGCTTCACATATAGGCAACCGACAGTGAACCAGAGGGCGCGATGCAGCTCTTTGGGCCACCTCAGCATTGTTGGTACCGACCACCAGGGATACTAAGAAATTGTAACGCTCACTGAACACAGCGACACGCTGAAGTGCCAGTGCCCTTTCTGGCCCGTTTTCAAAGAACGCTTCCTGGGCGCTTACATAATCTGCCGTTACCCTCTTGCTCGCAACTAAAAAAAGAAAACCATATCCACGTGCAAGTTCGGTTTTGCTGCGTCTACTCGCTAGGCTACGCATTGGAAAACTCGGTTTTGCTGCGCCTGCTTGCCAAGCTGTGTGTTCTGGCGCTACCATCAGTTCTCTTAAACTGCATTGCCGGGTGCGTATACCAAATTTGGTATTATGGGACATGAATAGACGACGCAGGTAATTGACTCGTTCAAACATAATGTTCACGACATGGGAGGCACGTACGGCATAATTCACACGCCTGCCTCTGCTGGTATTCCGAACGTTAGTGGTGCCATCGTTACGCGACTTTAAACACATACTTGCATCTTACCTAGAAACGTGAGTGCGCATAAAATTTTGATAGTGTTTACTGTGTAGCTGCGTCCGTCCGCCTTGCAGCGTATTGTTGACTTCAAAAAATACACTGACCCTCGTCATTCGTGCTTCGCATATCGTCGATTCCCACTGTATATGTCGTATCCGCAATTTCTTTTAAATTAAATTTTAAAGACGACGGCAAGCGACAGCGCTGCATCATTTACAACTTTATCTCTTGTTTATTGGATGTTTCATGGTGTCTCATGCGTTACTTTTTTGCACTAAATTCAACGGTTTTCGAAGATAAATTCATCAGAAGACGTGCAGTATTTTTCGCGATACGCTGGTCTCAATGTTTTGTTTTGACATATTTATCAGCAAAAGTATTGCTAATATCAGCAAACATGCACTATGGCTGATATATGTGGTGAATTTCAAAAGCAGATTGATAAACGTTTTCATTATCACGCTAACCTTGCTGTGTTCCGCACGTTATTATAAATACTTCGTTATAGAGCCCATTTGGTCCACGCTGTGGCACTATGTGGATCATAGTCAACCTACCTTCAACTGCCACTTCAACGTCTCTAGGATGGGTCAAGTACTGTGGGTCGATGATTGGCTTGTCGAGTGGGTTTGTTGTCCTCAGTTTGATGTAACCTCGAGACTTCGGCCTGTTCATCACGGGAACCAAAGCATATCCGAACGACGGGAAATGTGGCCCGTAATACTCGTCGTATACCTGCGCGAAAATCAACAGGAAGGTGTGCATAGGATGTATACGGCCCTTTATTACTCAGATTGTCCTTGAGTGAAAGAAAAATCGTGCAGTGAATTCAACTTCTGTACACTAGCCCTCAATAAACTATTGCGCGAGGGCGTTATCAGCTGGAAGATAACGACTAAAGCCGAAAGGTCAAGTCAGGGCCAGTCGTTCGAAGATTAGATGGCATTAGACAAGTATTGGGATAGTCACGTGTTCGAAATATAACTTTGCACCCTCAAAAAGAGGTCGAGCAAAACACCCTCCTCCCCTCTCCCGTCTTTGCTAATTACGATTAACGAAAAAGGGGTGCAAGACTTTCTGCTTCACTATGTACGTGTAGTCTTTGAATGTGCAATATTTATATTATGCGGAACACAAATATCGTCTCCGGCAATGAACGGAAGCTCAGAATACCATGTTTATATGTATAAGAATGTTGGTGTAAGGCTGGGAAGCATGAGTGTTCCGTTCATGTGGTATTGCGCGACATGCCATGTCGTATGCAAGTCTGGGCCCCTAACTGCGTTTTACAGCGAAAGCTGTAATGAGATCAGAACACGGGTCACTCGTGGCGCCGTTGTTGTCCGCCGCCACCACCGCCGCAGTCAGCAACCGCTATAAAAAAACTCAGCAAATAAAAAAACACAAATGCACAAAGGAATTCGCAACCAAGTCTGCTGCGTGCAAGCTCAGTGTTCCACCACTTAGCCACGCCAGTGCTTGGAATTCGCTCCAAAACTCGCCTTAGGCAGGCTTGATGTAGGGAAAAGAATCGCGTTAAAATGGGTAATCACGCGTTTTTTTTTTAGAACGGCACAGGAACAGCCAGGCGTCACACAATGTGAATTGCGTAACTCGTGGGTCGTCCTATCTCCAACCCATTACGAAATTATTTTTGATTATCTATTACTGTGGATACCGACTTCGAGCATAATCCTTCATCGTCGTCAGCCACTGTATAAAAATTGCACAAAACAATGAACAAGTGTGTAGCGGATAGCACGCTTCTCCAAAGAATGACGAAGGATAGCATAGCGAATTCCGGTGCCGTGTCCCCTCAATAAATTTTTATTTACACAGAGCTGGTTTGACACTTTCCCCCCTTTGTCTGTTCTGCGAAGAATCAGAAACTATTGTACATTATTTTGGATCATGTCGTAACTATGCTATAATTAGGAAACGACTTTTAGATATTCCATTTGCGAAGCTAGGTTTGAATTTAACCACAGAAAATGTTCTAAGTTTTGGTGCCTCTGTTTTCGGAAATTGCCACAGAGATGCATTCGATGCGGTGTGTAATTTTATTCAAGACTCTAAACGTTTTTCAACATAAAGCCCACGTTAACAGATACTCAAAAAAAAAACGGGTTGAAAAGTAATTTTCTATTCTGGATAAATCCGTGACATACCAAATTAATCGGCTTTGGCAAAACCAGCTGTCTGGTCGGCTCCCAAAATCAAGTTGTAGCTATTAGTGTTTACTTTGTTGTTGATTCTTTTTTCCACTATCTAAATCTTTGGTTTCTTTTTTTTAACATACTGTCTTCACTATACAACTCCCCCCCTTTTTTTCTTTGTAAGCAACAATGCAGTTATCGTCCATAGACTATGTTCTCTTGGCCAATCCCCCAGAGTGAGTACGAGCCATGGATTAGAGGATACAAACAAACAAACAAACAAACGAATGCTGGCCTACTACAAAAAATGATTAGTTATTGCGTATTGGGTACCCAGGCGTGTGCTTGTAGCAGTTACTCAAAGAGTTTTTTGAAAAGGCCCTGAAAGGCCTTTTTTCTAGCTTTTGCTGTGGCTGCGCGGCGCATTCTGAGCAGGCTTGGCGATTTTTGTCATTATCATCATCATCATTCTGAGCATGTGTAAGTCCACCCCGGGATGAAAGCTTCTCCCAATGGTCTCTAGTTTACACTATGCTGAGCGAGCTCATTCAATGTTATCCGCGCGAACTTCATTATCTTTTTACTCCATATATGTCTCGGCCTTCCCCAAGTGCGTTTTCCATCTCTTGTATACCTATTCTGTCGCTCTTATTGTCCACCGATTGTGTGTTGCCTCTTCTATGCATTACGTGATCAGCCCAGGTCTATTTTTTTTTCACTTGACTTCAGGTAGGATATCTGCAACTCCTCTGGGTTTTCTTGCGCAAGCTGCATTCCGATCTCTCAATGTTACGCCAAATATTTATGTTCCACTGTACGCTGATGTAACCTGTGAATAAATGTTTCCTGAGTTGTAGTCTTCGCTCTTCCCTCTTTTTAAGTGATGAGGATATTCAGACGGCTGCATACTCTCTTTTCTCTAGGGTGTAAGGGGGTTGATTGGAGTGTTATGTGAGGGTTAACGTCCCAAAATCACCATATGATTAAGAGAGATGTCGTAGGGGAGGACTCCGGAAATTTAGACCACCTGGGGTTCTTTAACGTGCGCCAAAATCTGAGCACACGGGCCTACAACATTTCTGCCTCCATCGGAAATGCAGCCGCTGCAGCCGGGATTCGATCCCGCGACCTGCGCGTCAGCAGCCGAGTACCTTAGCCACTAGACCACCGCGGTGAGGTGGGTGTAAGGGTATTAAAGGGACACTAAAATCGGATAACAATTTACGTCAGAGGTAAAGCTCAATGTACGACAACTAAACCGTCAATATTGTCAACAACACTTCCCTACTTACCGAGAAATTAAGGCAAATGAACGAGAAGACATGCGCCCCAGTAGGATGCTTTTAAAATGACCCCGAATACATCAGACGGACCACCTGGAATTGACCACTAGTTATTGATCCAGCTGCACTGAATAAAGAACCTTCCATGCATCAAGAGACGCAATAAAATGCTGCTTGTTCCTTTCTGTTTGATTCATGGGAAAAAGAACCCCCAGACGTTGCTGTGGGAAATGGCGCGAGTGGTTCAAAAAATCAATTTTCGCGTGGGGACAAGGAACAGATGATGCCATCTAGCGGAGCGCCACTGAACCAAAAACGTCTGCAATCTCGAAGACCGTGAAGGGTAATTATTCAATGGCCGTTGTTGCTGCTGAGGCTCCCGCTGATTTCGATCTGCTGCTACTAGCGCAGTAAAGCCGGGCAAGGTTGCGCACGGCAACAGTGACGTGAGCCGGTCCGGTAAGTCCGCTTTTTGAGGCGGGTAAGTTGAAGTGCGCTAACTTCATGCGGACCACTTAAACTTCATTTTAATTCAAAAAAGGACCTTCCTTGGCCCGAAAGTAACATAACGAGGCTTCTGAACCGCTATGTCAACAATCAACACCGACCTAATAGTTGCCTTTAGTGTTGTTTTAGGGACACAATGAAACGCTCTTAAGCCTTTGAGGTCGAAAAATTATACCCACTTTCCGCCTCTATCAGTCCGAAACTATTTTGCGAGTTTCCAGAGCCACAATAACAAAAAACGCGAAGTGTTGAAGAAGAACTCGCAGGATATTCATTTTTGCTCCTGCATTCTGCAAAAAACTCATTTACCGATATTTGGACAGCGTATGATACCGCTCAAAGCAATCTGTTGGGTGCGAACCATCATTTTTACTGCTGGTTTCGCCTAAAAATGGAGCTGTCTTCACCACTGTCGTCATCGTCTTCGACACTCACTTCGGTCAAATGCCCGTGCCTTGCATTGAGAAATGCGCGAAATCTAAACCACAAACGAAAGGCACGACGCATCTCGGGCGGCGCCCCACAGTGAAACGCTACAGCTCTATTGCGTTGTCGCGCAACGCCCGACAACAGACCGGGAGGGGATAAGGTGAAAACTGGTTTTCTGAGCGAATATCTTGTTTATAGGAACAAGAAAGTGAAGCACTGCGTCATTTTATACATGTAAGTCATTCTTTCGGGGCTCTCATGTAATGAAAGTCGCCACCCTAGATTACCTATGAGACGAGAAAACTCAAGCTCAGTATCAATCTTGAGCTTTACGCGAAACCGCACGTCGATGTCAGGGTGACGTCGCACATTTTTAAATGCTTTAGCGCATTTGCCCCACGATCATTCGGTGAACAAAGTTGAAACTTGCTTTGTCAACACTTTTGGTCCCTGAGAACAACACGGTATGTACACGGAAAGAATCACGGCGCCTTTAGTTAACAACGCGTAACTCTCATCCCAGGGATGCTGACACAGGAACTTCAAGGAGGCGTCGCCACGCGCATTTCCTTTTTGCGTGTTTTCCGTGCTAACAAGACAGTTTTCGTTGTGACACTGTCTTCACAATACTTAGCTTATAATTTCGTAATACGATGAATATTGTTCTCTTTAGTGCTCTCTCCAGTTTTAGAGCCAGGTCAGTACACTGGAAATAGAGACTACGTGTGTTTGAACGCGAGCTGATGTGTCTACCGTTCGTTTGAGTACACTTAGTTGTAAATGCAGTAGAACCTCATTTATACTATATTTATGAAAAAAACACTAAAAGTGAACATACATTACGAGGGAAAGTATGATTCGAAAACAGTATATATTCAGGCATGAACGCTCATACTAAGTGCCATGGGAAATGATTGGCGTCTCGATGGAAGCCAAAAAGCAGCCAGCTTTCCAATCCTGACAAGAAACAACTTCCGCGTAACGTGTATTTAAAATACGAGCAACCAAAATATCGAAAAATTGAAAGCAAGACACATCGTGCATATGAAAAAAGGCATTCTTCATGGCATTACAGAAAGCAGCCGCGCGAGCGTGGCTTCGGTTTGAATTGCCGCTTGGAACAATAGCAATAAGTTTGCCGAAGAACGGGAGTGTTATTCTCGATTACACAAATTTAGAAGGACGTCAATTGTGTTTGAAAGTACGCGTGTGGCTCGATCCATCTGTGAAGAGAACTGCCGCCCCTCTAATGGCTTAAGAACCTCCACTTTGCAAACTGCACGTAACAACTGCACTCCAACAAGATATGGAAAACCTCGCGAAAGCGATAGGCGTTTTCGTAAGCGGCAGCTGCACGTCG